CAATGCATTTTACAGACAAGTATTTATATTATTTTGTCCACCACATCTAAATTAAAAAAGGCAGGATAGTTAGAGAAACACCTCTGTAAACCACAATAGTTTACGAATATGTTTCTATTTGTTGAGTCTCTCTATCTATATGATTAGTAAAGATGATGGTACCCTTCTAAATTTTTTGACAACAGTAATGTATTTTCCATTATGAACTGACCGAGCCCCTTGGCGTTGACATGCTTGTCCTTGAACTTGTCATAGGCTGCGTTGGGGTTGACCACAATCCTCTCCACACTGTCACTGCAGAGCTCCTCCTGTCATTGAGATACCAGGAAGAACATCAGATCAATATAATGAACATCTTAAAACTGAATGTTATTCTTTACAGACAGATAAGATTTGAAAAATTGCCTTGGCTTACTGAGCCAAAAGTCTCAAAGCCCTAGGTAGACTTGAAATATGTTGACAGGTTGGTAAGATCTGAGAGGAAATTCAACACTTGATCATTGCCCGAAAGTATGATTAAAAAGATGATGAATTATTACAAAAGTGATATACCCTCAGGAATTAAAGTCATTGTCGCCATGAATCATGAAAATCTGCAAGAGCTTCCGGACAACATTTGTGTCCAGAACCAGATTATTTCAACATAATTTAAAGTACCAGCAGGCAAGAGACGAATGTGAAAATGATATCACAGCTATAGCTTTACCCAGGCCTGATTGAAGAATTTTGCTGTTTGAAACGGTTTAGCTTTTATAAGAATGTGTCAGCTATACAGTATGGTATAAGTCTACTATGTACTATTAAATCAATGTTATGTGAAAGAAAAGCAGGAAACCACTAACACCTAATGCCTAAATGATGGTATTTTGATGAGTGATTCTGGGGAAGAAAAAAACAAACGTGCATCATTTGATCAAAACTTCCTATTGATCATCCTATACGATGAACTAGAGGCTAAGGGCAAGATTAGAACACCACTGACACATACAGGTAGATGACATGAGTCTGGGCTCACACACAGATTTGGATTTTTAAAGGCAGACCAACAAAACACACACACACACACACACACAAGATAGTTTCACGGATGTTAGGAAGAGGAGGAAGAGTGAGGAGGGGGGTTAGTCAGGCTCTTACCAGCTCCTTGGGTTTCCAAAGAGAATTAGAGAAAGTAACGGACGAGCAGAGGGAGAGAAAAAAGTAGGGGGGAGAGAGAGAGACAACACAGATTAATGTGGTTATCACATGCCATGCACACAGGAACAGTTGGCCAGGGTTTGGGGAAAGATAAGAAAGAAAGCAGTGTTCTGAGAGTTGCTGCTAACAACCCTGGAGACACTCTGCTCAGACTGCTCTCTCAAGTTCTTTCTCTTTTCCCCGACTCGAGTCAGGGTGGTAAGACGCCGGTTCATTTACACAAACAAGCCCCTGTCTCCTTTGATGCCACACTGCACTTTTATATGCAGTGGGATCATATGCCCTTGTGGAGGGCATTGTAGGTCTTACAACATTAAGCTATCAATGCAGGGGGGTTGGCAGTTTAAAAACAATCCATGGTTCAAACTGAAGGGTAACAGGAGGTTGTAGGGTGATTAAAGGGAGTCTAAAAAAGGTCTAAAAAAAGATGTCTGTTACACAAATTCTAATCATCAAATATCATTCATCAGGGTGAGTAATTCCTAAAAAAATATGCTAAAGTTAAAGTCACAATTACACAGTGTGATTTTAGGGGTGTCCGAGACGAATTGCAATTATTTATTTGGTCATCAATGCAAGAGGGAAGTCAATGCTGTAAGGTGAGACATGTCTTATCAGCTGATGGCAGACTTAGAACATTGATGAACAAGGAAAGTCTGTGTCAAAGGTCTGAGAGGGTTAAAGATGTGGGAATAAATTATCTATATGGTTTTGTTAAGACGATACAAGCAAAGTAATAGGCATTATCCACAAATTATTAAATTATTAACATTATAACATTAAACCCCAATATATCCAAGCATGACATGCAAAGAACCTTCAAGATGCTATCACACACAGTGTATAAGGATCTTTAAAATACCCAGTTAGTCCAAATAATGTGGTTAGGCAGGAAGTGACTGTTAAACATGAAGACAGGTTAAAAAAAAGAATATATCCAAAACAAAATAGAGAAACACTTTTCTTATTATAGTGCTGCTGAAGACCCATCAACCTAATTATTCCCTTTAAATTGTTTAATTGAAACAACACAAATAAGAGGAAAAGATTCAATTTCCTGTACTTCAAAACAATCAAGAAGTGATGAATTACAAAACAAGGGCCACCCATGCATACAAAGCATGGCATTAAGCTCACAGAGTAAAATGGAGCCAGTCTTACTTGTACAAGCTAGGCTCCGAGGAGGGGTAGGGAAGAGTCAAAACAAGGGCAAGGGTAAGGGAAAAGCGAATGGGGAAACATGGAAGGGAAAAGGCCAATTAGGAATCAATCTGCTGGACAGTAAACCGTCCAGACATTTAACAACAATGTTAGGCCAGCCTCCCTTAACTGTTTGCATAGTATTTTAGAAAAGCACTGCTAAAAAATATTTGATCCTAGCAACGCCTCCTTAACTCTGCTTATGTTACAGTTAATGGCAGTGAGAATAGACTTTTCATTGAGTCACAAGACCATCATCATGACCTAGTTATAAACCCCCACAGAAGGCCCATGGATGGCATTTCTTTTTAGTTTTTCCATCTATTGTATACTAGTCTTCCCTTTGTCACTCACTCATCTTGATGTATAAAAGGACATATTCTTCTTTGATAGAATATTAACAAAATAAACATATTTCTCTAGAAACATAGGCTTTTCCTATATATTAGAACGTTTTAATTAAACAAAAATAAAACCAAAAGCTGATCAAACATGTGATCTTAAAACGTTTAGGATCAGGCTTTATTTTTTTAATATGAAAACATAAGGATATAGTTTAATTGGAATTTCACAATTATTATAGTACTGTTAAGCTGCAATGGGTGCCTTTTCATGTATTTAGTAATAGTTAGCCAGGCAATTGCTTGTTCAGGTGTTTAATCACAACAGGGATAATGCACCTATCGCAGTAAATTAGTCATATTTTTCCGTTATATAAAGTGTCAACACTCCTTAGCTAGTTTGGTTAGCAACGGAAACGTCAACTTACCGACTCAAACTGAGCCTGGTCATCTTCTGGTAGGTCACCGGTCTCGTACACGTCCGGTTCATTAAAGGCCTAATAAAACAGGTAAACAATATTAGGTTAACAATATCAAACGATCAGATATTACGTTTATTGTCAGTAGCTTGGCCAACGCCCCGGCCCATTCAACACCACGTATATGCTAGCCCTTGCTAGGTGGCTTGTATCATTAGACAACACATTAACAATTGTAGCAACTACACATGTACGATAACTAATGCTAGTTAACAAATGACACGTATATGAAAGAGTAAACACCACGGATGTTTGCTAACTCAGCTGTCACAGCTCAGAGCTAGCATTGCCAAGTAGCAATCTAGCTAATCTGTCTGCTAGCTGTAGCCACTTACAATTCCTGGCAAGTTTGCGTATTTAGGATCAGCCATTGTAAGCGGGATGCAAAGACGAGTTCAACAAACAACTATAGAATATGATAATCCTACTTAATTATTGTCTATTATAGATTAAACTAATCTAATTGTAACAAAAGCTAACGATAGATGAGCCAGCAGTCTCTCAGCCGGCGGAGGTTTCCAAGCTGATGTGGTCACTAGTTTGAGATGACAGCGTGTGCGTTTGTTTTCCTGCAGGCGGAGGCGGACGGGCGGGGAGGTACTCGCTATGCCAATAGGAAAGCGTTCACCGGTGTGCAGAAACCGACAAAACAAGCCCTACCAATACATTTGAGTGTTTATACGCATATGCTCAGTTTGTGCAATTGTAGGCTACGTCCTATTGCTGTTGCTTACCATCTTTTTTTGTTTTATTATTAAACAAAGAATTGGTTGGGCACATTAATTTTGCAAAAATGAACTGCCTTCAACAACACTATTCTTCTTTTCAAAAGATATTTTTCAGAATTTAGCAAAGTCGTCACATGGTGGCGCTAAAAGTACAGCCAACAACTCAGTCAATGGGACAAAGACGGTCGATTGTGAAGATGATCACTCTGTCGGACAAAATTATCTACCTTATCTAAAAGCATTGATATAAAGTATGAATGGGCAATGTTGTATGTTACTTTCTTATGTTTAAAATAATAATGATTAAAACACATAGAAAAAAAACTATAGGCTGTTGAATAATAATAATTAAAACACATAGAAAAAAAACGATATTGAAACTACATAATAAGCACTCATAGTCTTCTGTTTCCTGAGACAAATGTGTTATAAAACAGTTTTAATAGTATACTTTTGTCGAATTGTGTTTCGTAGTGCATAGCCCTTGTAGCCTATAGCTATTTCAATTAATATAAGTGTTAAATAATTACACAAGTTAATGTTGAGCACAGTTCTTTTTTTATCTGACTTTCTCAGCTCTGATGAATGTGCAGTACATCAATGGAGAACCCTCATTTCTTGACAAAAACGACAGAGCCTTTGTTTGGTTCCTACATGACTGCCCATGCAAAACAGCATTGCCATGACTACCAATCTGGTGAAGACGTGGACAAAATTGTTAAATTCTGGACCTAAAAATTACTGGCCACAAAAAAAAATCAAAAGATGCAATAAGGAACACCTTCAGCTTGTTGTGCTCAGTATTCAATGGTTAAAAGTCAACTTCTAGGTCAATCCCAGTTAAAAAAAATTGGCTGAGGAAATAAGTAGCAGAGTTGGAGCTCTCCTCCTCAGTGGTGCTGATGGGAGGATTTGAGTCGCTACTTTCCAAACCCCGCCCCCACTGAGAGTGCAGTGATGACGGAGAGGCATGCTCCCGAGCAGCCTGCAGCCTATCCAGACACTGCCGACCGGACCGGGTTGGAATATACTCACATTTACAACTCTCCATCTGTTCTCCTACGCGAGTTTGGTTTGAGGGCTTTTGAAATTAGAATCACTCCGAACGGGTTGTTTTTGCTTGTGATTTCTGTGATGAATTTGTCTCTAGTAGCTATCTCCCAAAACTAGTGGGTGTCCATTCATCCAAATGTTTCGCCTGCCGGTCTCGCTTTGCATGTAGCCGGTGGTTTCAGCCTGCGCCCAGGTGGTTCACGCGAAATTGCGAACGGGATTTTATTTGTCTTTATATTTGTTGGTGAGAGACATCCCTTTTTATTTATCGGAAAGCACGTACACTATTTTCCCCCAACAATGGCTGATGCTAATGCAGAATGCAATATCAAGGTGTTGTGTCGGTTTCGTCCTCTGAACAAGTCCGAAATTATCCGCGGAGATAAGTTCATCCCAGTGTTTCAGGGAGAAGACACTGTCATCCTGGGGGTAAGTTAATTCTAACCATCTCCTTCCTTTTTGCCTCCTTTCCATGCAGTCGGTGCACGCGAACGCTAGGGGTTACACTTTGCATCTCGTGCACACATCAAATACTGGCCAGACAAGACTAGAGGCTTAACGGCTCCTGCTAGAGATCAAACTAAGTATAGCCCCTATCAATATTCTGACCACCAGCATGTTGCATGCTCAGGTGTGTTGCTGCCATTAATGAGCAACAAGGCAGGCTTAGCCCTGCACAAAAAAAGTCTAGATTAGATTGATGAATAGTCATTTCATGCCTTCAGCTAAATTGCCTAAATCATCCTGTTCTTGTTTGAATGAAGCCCAAAATCAATACACTCCACAAATCTGAGCTCAGCATTGTGAAGAACTCAACTGCATCTGGACCCCACCTTTGGGATCCCACACTGCCTCATTATTTGCTTCTTCTATGGAATTGATCTGCTGGATTTTGGCATTTTTCCTGTCTCAAGAGATCGTGCATGATTGATTGATTGATTGCTTGTTGTTGGTGTTTCTACAATCAGCCTGTAATTCACTGTTGAAGTAAAAGGTGCAATACGTTAATGAGAGTCATAATTAGGCTCTGAGGGCTTTTTCTGTCCAGTGAATGGATTCTTATAGCAGCTGCTGTCTCTGCTTTGGAGCTGCAAATGAAAATGAACCAAGCTTTAACACATTTGTCAATCTGATGGATAGTATGAGTCTGAGGTTAACAGCTGGGGATTAAGAGTGCTCTAAATGCAAATGTTCTTGTTGATTAAATGTAAGGAACATTTGTGTCGAGGTTAACATACACACATACATTACACACACACACACACACACACACACACACACACACACACACACACACACACACACACACACACACACACACACACACACACACACACACACACACACACACACACACACACAAGAAGAGAGAGAGATAGAGAGATCCATAATGCTTCTGGCCCTAGGGTTGACTTCAAGTGACGATGAAGACAGCAGATGGATGTTTCACTCAAGACAATTCAGTGCCCATTATTCTGATGCTATTGGAGAATAGCAGGCCACCATTACACCAGCTTCAAATCATCCATTCATGCATTCATCGTGGTATACTTTCAATGTATTCAGGATTTGTTAGAGTGCAGCAGAAGAATGAAAAATTCATTACGATGTTCTTTCTATTGTCAAGTTCCAATTCTAAAGAATCACTGTCACTACATATACATTATTTAGTTGATGCTGGTGCTTCTGTTCAATTTAGGCTGCAGTGTGTTAGTCAGATGAAATCCATTCTTCGCATTACTCTGCAGGATGACAGTTGGGAACATTTTGCAGAAATTGAAATCATGTTACCCAATTAAGGGAACCGTGATCCATCATTATGGTGAAGAAAACCTACGTAGTGCACTGCTGTAGTTCCCTCTAAGCACTGCTGTATAGCAGCAGGAGCCTACGAAACTGATAATGTCTGGAAACAGATGTGTGCACTGCTTATATTTCCAGTTACTTCATGTATCAACCAAACAGCAGTTTCCTTCTTCTCAGAAAAGTATAACCACAAAAGTATGAACACAGTTTTTTTATCCTTCTTAATGAGAATTTAGCTTGGAGGCGTGCAGAATGCCAATGTTTTTTTAAGGTGTGTAAATGTATTTATAGTGTCTATTTTCCCTGTGTAGCTTCCTTCTCGTAGCTCTGGAATACTCTTAGAGGAAGTTGTAAAAAACTCTCCTGAGACTTTAAATGTTGGGGCTGTCAGATTGGATCTGGATGTAAGATATTGGGCGGAAGGTAAGCAGGCTTTCCGCAGCGACAACTGCGTTGTTTGGTAAATGTTTATAAAAAACAATTTACATCCGGGCAGTGCTGATGGCCCCACATTTGTCTGCTCGAGAAAGGCTTCCTCTGGAACTTGGTAACTGACAGGGCCAATGATTTGAGCTTCTGAGTGATAGTTTGGCAGCACCTGGGTGGCAGGCAGGAGGAGACTAGGAGAGATTAAAGATCCGGGGAAATGGCATGTTGGTGTGTTCTGAATTGATGAAGGAACGTCTCTGGGGCCTTAAGACATTTCGGAACAGGTGAAGTCTGAGTGATAAGATGTACAGCTTGTACTTTAATATCACAGTCAAAAAGCAATGACTCCTGAAACATCTTGGATGTGAAATTTGACAACTTTGAACTTGCATTTGACCTCGATACATTAACATAGCTATACGTCCTTTAAGCATCATCCTACATTTTGATAAAAGCATTTGTCAAGCATCTGTTTACAAAGATATTAGTTTATCTGTGATAAGCTACCATGCAGTGTAACAGGTGCATAATGAGAGAAGACTCTTTAAGATTGCAATCTGTCCTATGAATATTACTTGTGAATTCAAATGTATATTTGTAAAAGAAAGATTGTGTTATTTCTCCGTCCAAAATGTTAACAATATTTTCTGCTGCTATGTCCATGTGTTTTGGTCTCTGCTAACTCCCGGGGGAAATATCTGGCTCTTTAGCTGCTAAATGCTCCACTATGTTCACCAATGACCTGCTAACTGTGTCCTCCTGCTGTTTTCTGCTGAGCAGTCTGCTTGGCACTGGAAACAGCTCTTATACAGTTATAAGTAAGGTTGATGAGAGGAGTGAAGAAACATTTAAGATGCAGAACATGAAAACTAAAATGCAAGATGCTCAACGCTCCAAAAACTGAAGAGTCCGGTGTTGTTGTCTTTGAGCAACTTCTGCCAAACATAATGCAGTCATTCAATCCATTGCTAACATAAATCAGATTAGTGTAGCCACTGTACAGTTGGTTACTCAGGCACGCACCTGAGTACTTGGAATATAACTCATTTTGACTGAGACGTTACCACCATGACTTGCATTTCAATCTTAAGTCAGACTTGACATGAGGGTTTTGTGACTTCACTGTCATAATAGATGATGTACAAGATGTACTTATCATGTACTGCATCCTATTAGTGAGGAATAAGTGCTTTTTCTCTGAGGTGTGGATTAGCAGTGCACAAATAAACGTAAGAGTAGGCTACTGAGAGGGTCTGAAAGCATTAATACAGTGATTGTTGGATCATGAGTTTATACAGAACAGGTTAACCTTTTGCTGCACATCCTGAAGTTAGTCACGTTTCATAGCTTCCCCAGCTTTCTCGCCAAAGTTAATTTGAATGACAATAGCAATATGTCACATCCCCTAGTTATTTGTTTCTTTTGTTTTCTTTTGTCTGGTATGCCACCTGTGGAGCCCTTCGGTGCTAAATGGATGTGTGACAGTAATAACCACACTCAGGCTGTACGGCCCCGCGGCTCAGCCTTAGTGTTTGCTTCACGATGGAGTGACACAGCTGTCTCTAGTATTTCACTGTCGGGAATAATGCCGCGTCACAGGGGCCAGATTGTCCCTCCTAATCTTCTGGCAGGCGAAAAAGACAGCCCAAATGAATCACGCTTTGGACTCAGTTCTATGAATAAATAAATAAATAAACAATGGATGCCTCAAATGCAGCAAGATATGGAATTTCTCTCTCTTGCTCAGAGGCTGTAACATTTGGTTATCACATGCTAGTGCCATATGTGCTTCACACTGGCTTATTAAAAATGCATTGCATGCATATACACATCATACCAGTGGCAGTATAATGATAAAATATGATTTAGGAGTCTAGATTAAATAACTGCTATTTCAGACCTGCTGTATTCACTCCATGATTGTTTGTTTTCATATCTCTTTATTCTGCGAGAGCTTTAAAGACCTCACTGGTGCTGAAGATACAAAACAGTGTCATTACCATTCCCTTGATGATTCATTTGACTGCTGTTGTGAATATTTGTATCTGCATGCTTGTGCTGAGTTTAACTTAACAGGATGATAGTGTAAAATATAATTTGTTAATACAGATTATTTTCCTAAATCCAATCCCAACTATTTTAAACCAGCAAGAAGAAACGCTTAACAGTGAATTGTTCGCTGCAGTAACTGTAGGTAATTAAGTTGGCTCTGCAAGTTCCTTTCATCATGGAGCATTACTTTCCACATTAGAGGTACAAGTTTAATGAGCCTGCATCCTGGAGCAAGGTCAGACTGTTTTAGCTTTTGATCAAAATGCAAAAACAACATGAAAGTCATTTTGTTCCCAAAACTGTCATTCTGTTAAACTTACTCAACATTGGATCCTGCGTAGCTGTGCATGAGTGTTTATGCTGATTTTAAAGTTTAAAACAATCATAACCTTTACACCGACCCGCTGTAATTTTCATATTGAACTTGTTCGATTTCTGCCTTTGTTGCCCATGATAGTTATTGAGGAGGCTGAACTTTGCAGTCAAAAGAGCCCCTTGGCACGTGTTAGGGAGTCCAGTTGAAATGTGCACATTCAATAGCTATTGATTCTCTATTTACTGCACACCATTTATAATTCTATAGATTACCTCTCCCCGGCTGCTGTTACGTTGTGTGCTTAGACTACTATAGAATCTCAAAAGAGTTCAAGCCTTTTTAATTACAATTGAGAAATACGCCTTTTTACATTTTTAGGAAGAATAGAGGATTAGACCAGTCTTGTCAAAAGGTTCACAGAGATGTAGTGTATTATCTACCAAGGCTCACCTTTTATATTTTGGGATTAGCTTCGTTTGAGAAGGCCCTTATTTTCTCTTGGAAGCTTTTTCTGAGGTTGGTTGAAAAATAAACTAGGTTCCATGGTGATCTGATGCAGAAAATAGGCATGTAATGTTGTTAGACAGTCCACAATTATTTATGAGCGGAAATTCAAAGATGTCTGCCTGCTTTCTGATGGAGTTGCACCTCTCTTCCTGTCGAGCTCAGCTGAGTGCTGGTCCTTTTTTCTTCTCTTCTTTCTTTCTTGATTATAAACCAAGAAGGAAAAGCAGCTGCTGTTGAAACAATGCTTGTCGGCGCAGAGTAAAGTCACCTGTCTCGTACATTTTGTATCAAAGTTACATTGCACGGTTTTCTCCTTAAG